AGGTATCTTCTTGTGAGTTGAGGGTCCTCTGCTAAGGTCTACTGAGATTCAACACTCTCATGTTGAAGTCTGGAGCTGCAACAGGACAACTTGCCTGGCCTTGAGCTGATGCTCCAAATGATGGGATCTCCAGCAGGTCTTGTGTCCTGCCTGCGTGCCCATGGATGTCCAGGAAGCCCCGTGGGACCTCAAGTGGCCGGTCCAGGTCCCATGGAGCTCGTGAGGAAGCAAATTAGTTTTGACAGACATGGATGAGCAGACTAGCTATAATTATTTATACCTATGATAAAAGTTATACATGAATCTGTTTTATTTTATCTCCATTCCTATGAACCCTCTGGGCTGGCTGACACTCAGTGATGGCACAGATTTAATTAACGATTTAATTAACTCTATGCAAAGATATTAGCCGCTCTTCTCAGTGTATTTAAAGCCACATAGTCCCTTACCCTGACTTGGATGTATCTATAAAAGTGCTTCATGCCATGATGGTTATCTACATAAGTGGGAAGAGGGAGGGAGCTATACTGGTACATACTGGTGTGAAGCCCTTTTGTACTGGTGAGGTTCCAGCAGCATCTGAAAGGTACCACTATAGCAGGGAAGTAGTCACAGTCTGGTTTTGGAGCTCACATCATAAGCTCTTGTGCTGTGCTGCTCATCTGTGATGGGATCAAATGATGAGCATTGATCTTTGAACTGGGTCAGAAATGTTCTGCTCCCAGACACCTGAGGCTGGACAACCCCTTCCTCCTCCTCTCCTTCCCTCTGTATTAGTTCTGCATTTTCCCAAGTTTAATCCAGCCTTGTTGTGCTACCAGCTGGGACTTTTCCCCTCCTTTGCCTTTAATCTCCCTTGAGCCCTGGTTTGTTTTCCTTCTTGCTGTGCTGCTCGGTGTGTGGTGCCATCTAAGGTTTGCTTACGCATTCTCTGCATCATGAAGTGCTACAGCCCATCCCTTCCCAGAGGAGCTCCTGATCGATTGGTGAGTCTGTGGCTTCTCCCAGGCTTGTGGTCCATCAAGGGAAAGTGCACCGTGATGGTCCCAGACCTTCTCTGGACCAGCTCCAAGGCTTGAGGAAGCAGCCCTGGTTTTCCCAGAGCATCCTCTCCTCGGTGCATGGTGTTGTTTTGGCTCCCTAGGGCCATGGTGAGGACAGGTATGTCTGGGAGCTGGTTCACTGCAGCTGCGTTAGACACCTGCTCGAGATGAGAGGACTCTGGGGATGTCCATCTGTCCCCACTTGCCCTAGAGACAGTTTAAATCATGAATTCAGACTGAACACCCCTAACTGCTCCCAGTGCCTCCTAACACTGGCAGTGCTGGGATGCTGTCCTCACGATGGCTTGTGGCAACATTCACATGTGTGCTCCCCTGCCTCATGTTTCCACCATTTTTCATCATCATTACAACACAGCAGCATCCATCCCAAACCTTGCCATCAAAATGTATGTAGATCGCATATATGGCGCAGGCTGGACATACAGGCTGTGTCCTCTGTCTTAACTCTGACTCAAATGGTCTGTAAACCTCCCTGAAAAGCCAGCACTGCTTTATACAGCTCAGACCCACAAGCTTCAGATCCTCTCACCCACTGAGTATTTGGTGTTCAGATTCTTTTCCTTCTTACATTTTTGGTTACAAGTTTCCAGTCTGGATCTCAAGTATGGTATTTCTTTCTGATCTGTGTGTCTTCTTTTGTGCCTGGTTTTCATTTGTTCACACTGGTTGGCCGTTGACATTTTACAACCTGCTGACACACAGGGAAGTCAATAGGATTTTTGAGGGGCTTGATCTGAGCCTTGCTTGACTTGAGAGCCAAGGCCACATCAGATTGCTATGGGAAAGTTGTCTCTGATTATAGCAATGGAATTTTAGGCAATCATCAATTATGAGCCCTCTGCAACCATTGTAACTTGTGGAGGCTTGGATCACCATAGACTTGTCCCATCCATCTTCCGTTTGCTGGGTCCAACGCGTCACCACTAAGGTAAACTGGTCTCCAAGCCAAGCCCAGAGGGATTTAGCACCTGAAAGCAGATGAGATGTCACATGTGGATCTGCTAAGGGTGAGTAGTGATCATCGTTACCATTTGGTCATCTCCATAAACATGTGAATGTGTGAATTAACTCTTCCCAGTGTACTCCCCTGACAGTGCTGACAATTGTATGATAGACAACACAGCCCTGAATGAGCTGGGCTGTCCTGAGATATCCCACAGCTAACTGGTCCCAATGTGAACACAGCTGATGATTTCCAGTGACCAATGGGCTAAGGCAGTTATTAAGCGTGTCTCTTAAGTGAGCAGTAGTCCCCCCACAGTGTGGGAGTAGGTGAGGATATATGGAAAGCATCTTAAGAAGATCTTTAGCAGGATAACTCCCTCTCATACAAAATTTATAAAACAAGGAAGGTGAATGCAGGAATTATAGCCATGTCAGGCTGAACAAGAAAGCATTCAATGTATTAATCTGGATTTGTAGTTGCGATAAAGATTTGCTTTTCTTGGCTTCTCAGACAGGTTTTACTAACGGGCAGGCAATAACCAGATCAGATGAGATGCTCTTTTCCAGGAGAGAAATGAGCAGTTGATAAATCCCACTCCATGGAGGAGTACAGTGAGGCTGAGGGTCTCCTGCAGTTGGGGACACCACTTGGGTGCTCCTGGCACATCAAACCTCCTGGACTTGTAATGGCAGTGATAGTTGAGGGGATAACTTCAGACAAAGCAGGGCAAAGCCCAAGTTCTCCTATCAACCATCTCTCTAACAAATCGCTCATTTGGTTGGTGTCTAAGATTAGCTCCTTCTGGCAGCTCCAGCAGATGCAGCTGCTGGGTAAATTTAGATCCTTAGTGAATGGGTTATTTTCTCTCCCAGAGTATCCAAGTCAGGAGGGCAGTGCAGAGTCACTGGGCTTTGCCATGTGAGTCACCCACTTCGGCACTGGGAGGTGGGTGACTCTGTTTGTCCTCCTGGGCAGCCAAGGACCTGAGCTGAGCCACCTGCAGAGACAGAGTCCTTGGTCTCTGCAGCTCAGGGTGGCTTCACGGTGTGAGGACACCCGTATGGAGGAGAAGAGAAGAATTTTATGCTGGGAGGAGGCTGTTTTGCTGGTAAAGAGTAAATCTGAGATAATGGAGAAGCCAAGAAATGTCTACCAAAGGTCCGGTAGCAGGGATGTGCCTGGCAGCTGAAGGGGTTTTGGGGATGTGACTAGAGGTGCCACCGAGCCACAGCAGCTGCCCTTACTTCCAGCAGAAATAAAACCAACACAGCTTCTAACTCAGAAACCATACAGGTGCCAGTAGACTCGTGTTATTTCACCAGCATGAACGTGGAGTCAAAATAAAGGTGAATATGATTCAAGCTGCAGCAAAATCTCCAATCTGGTGATGACACGAAGGTGGGTTTCTGTTAAACTCAGCAATATCTTACCTTGTGTCACTATTCCGGGTGGGAGGTGAGGATCTGCAAACAGACCCTTAAGTCTCTCAGCTCTGGTGGCAGTGGTGACCCAGGGCGTCACCTGCACTACAGTGGTGTAACAGTGATGAGCGGCAGGCACCATAGATGTCCAACATTTATTTACTACATAAATAAATGACATTTATCAGGGACTTCACAAATTCCTTTGGCAGAGCTGAAAGCTGGCTAGAAAACCAATCCTGTTTCATCCACAGGGACACCAGAACACACCAGCACCAAGTGTCTCAACCCACATTGCAAAGTGGTCCAGATTCTGCCCTCACAAACATCAACATAACTCAGACATAAGGCCACTGAAAGTTATTCTAAAGTGCAAGAGAGCCAGAGTTATTTTTGAGTTATTAAAGGACCTTTTCCCCAAGGCACCGTGTTTCACATAAGTACATTTATTCAATGGACTCACTGTGCAGTGTCCCAAAGTCTACTTCTCCAAGGAGGCTAACATGGGCTTCCCCTCCACCACCAAGCCCCAAATCACTGCCTTTCATTCAGGGTCTTTCTTCTTTGGTTGTATGTGTGTGTGTGTGTGCTCATGCAGACATGGGCTGAGGCTGTGTGTACCAGAGTCAGCTGAGTAAAGGGAGGGGTGGATGGATGGATGGATGGAGATCAGCAAGAGTTGGCTACAGCATCTTCTGTTCCTCAGCCATGGGCAGGAATGTGAGCTTAACTTTTGTCCATGGTATGTAAAAAAATGCAAGTGGGATTCTGTTTGAGTCCCAGGACATGTATCATGGTTGTGGTCTCGGAGCCAGCAGTGGAAGCCCCTTGTGTCTGTGTTGAGGCCTGGAGACTGAGCAGTTGTGAGCTGTGTGTTGTGTTTTTTTGACACACCTGCTCCCCAGACAACTTGTACATGATGTGCTCTGTGAAGCAGGTATGTCTCCTGAACTCTCATGAACTACACCTAATACTGAGACTGAATCATTTTTTTCCAAGACACTGAAGGGACCTGTTTTGCAGAGAGTTTGAAATAATAACAGCTATCGCTGACAGTGGTGAGGAGATGATTACCCTATAACAAGCCATTCCTGGTTTTTCTTCCCTTTGCTATAACAACTGTACTATTTATTTATTAGCCTCTAGGTAGGTATAGATCGTGCTGAGCCATTTCACAGTCCTTACTGCACAACCATAGATGCTGAACACTTGACAGCGGATGCAGATCATTTCTTCTAGTAAAAGAAACATGGGATGCTTGGGCTAGAAGTGACCTGGAGATGGTCTGCTCAGCTTCAGCTAATCCCTTTCTCATAGCTGAATGTCTGGACCACCCTGAAACCTGTAGCCATGGGACCTGGAGAGTCTCCTCTGGGAGGCAAGGGCTATAAGACCTGCAGAAGAGCTGATTGCTAATGGACCAAATGTTATGGGAAGCAGAGAGTGAAGTCTCTAGGCTGGCGCAATGTCAGAGGGTCAAAAAAATGATGGGGATGGCTCTTCCTGGCATTACGGAAATGTCCTGGGAGCCTTCTTCAGCAGTTTGCCTCACATGGGGAGCCTGAGGAATGCCCACTGTGTCTTACAGAAGATCTTTCCTGCAGCAATGGGGTGACCTGTGCCTTCCAGGTGACTTCTACATGGGTGAGCTACAGCAGTCCAGGTGTCAGGAGGGCTTGGAGAGCCCCGGCCAGTGGCCAGCCTGGCAGCGGTGGCTGGAGGGGAGACAAGGCTCTGGGACAAGCCTGTGGATGCCTCCCTCTACTCCACCTTTGCTTTGTCACACATCTCCTCCTCGATGGCCAGGATGCGCTCACGCTCTTTGATCAGCTGCACTCCGCAGTATGTGATGAACCAGATGGACAAGGTGCTGACAGGGAAACCTAGAAGATGGAGAGACACACATGGTCATCTTGGAGTAGCTGCTCACCTAACGGGGCCAGCTCCTCTCCAGCGCTGCTGCCTCTCAGGTGGGTTTGGGAGGTCCCACAAGTTCATGATGGCCAGTGACATTTTCCATTGGCTATCCAGTCCTACAGCTTAACTGAGAGAAGAGAGAAATTCCCAAGATCAGATTTTAGGTGAAGCGGTGCCTGAGACCACCAAGGCATCATAGATCGTGGTTAATGTGGGAACATGCTGGAGTGGCTTCCTTTTCCTCCAAAACTCCTTCTGCCTCACCAAGGCTTGGTGGTTGACTTTCTGCCCATTCAACCTGCCCATGTCCATTGTTATTCAGCACTGTGACCTTCTGGAAGCTTTGTGCCCCTCTGATGCTGAGGATCAACCCCAGCCTTGTCCCATACCTACTGGGGACACAATGAGGAACACACATTTTTGTCCCCTATGTAAGTGATGGAGAGTCGGGAGCTCTCCCTCCACTTAGGAAGGGTCTGACAGCATTGTAACCAGGACTCTGGTATCCACAGCAGAGAGGAGAGACAGGCTTTGTACCTGCTAAAACGGGACCTCCAAAATGAATAATGCAGCCAGCAAAAGCCAGCTAGCTCAGCGGGCAGGCACTTCTGGCACATCGAGCCCAGACTGTCACATTATCCCTTTCCTACGCCAGCCCTGTCCCAGAGCGGGCGGGAGGATGTGGGCTCCTGATGACTATTTATACTCTGGGCTGCTCAAGAAGACTTCAAAATAGAGTCACCATCCACTGATTAGAAATGTGCAGGACCTCATTAATGTTTATAAATTTGTAAAGGGCAAGCGTCAGGAGGAAGGAGCCAGGTTCTGCTCTGGGATGTCCAATGACAGAACAAGGGGCAATGGGAGCAAGCTGGAGCACAGGAGGTTCAATCTGAACATGAGGAAAAACTTTTTCACTTTGAGGGTGACAGAGCATGGCCCAGACTGCCCAGAGAGGTTGTGGAGTCTCCTTCTCTGGAGACACCCAAACCCCTGGCCGTGTTCCTGTGTGACTGCTCTGGTGATCCTGCTCTGGCAGGGGTTGGACTGGGGGAGCTTTTGAGGTCTCTTCCAACTCCTGACATTCTATGATCCTGTGATACAGGTCAGACTGTTCATTAGCAACACAGGATGAGGATTTGTAGCTGTCACCTTCAGGTTGATGCAGGAGTAGCTGCTAAAGCAAAATGAGATGAGGTAGGACAAGTAAATTGCTTTCTCCAGCAAGGAGACCATTCCACAGCCCACTTTGATGGGGTGAATGTGACCTGTGTGTTGCTGCAAGGAATCTAAACCCCAGCAACAGGCTGTGCTTGGAGCTGTACAAGCACTCCTGGAAGGCAGCTCATACCACAGAGAGCTCACACAAGAAGGATAGGGGCTAAGAAACAGCTTCCTGCACCTTTTGAACAATAATTAAGCCAATCACCAACCCACCAAGAGGACTCAGACATCCCAGTCCTCAGCTCCTCTATCAGTGTCCCCCCATCAAGACAAGGGTACCTCGATGGGGTGGGCTGGTAGCACTTTACCTGTCAGGAGAAGTCTCTTGGTGACCAGCAGTGCAAACTCGAGGCTGTTGAGGGCTAGGATGTTGTAGAGAACGATGGCCCAGAAGTTTGCTGCCCCAAAACCTGCCCTAATCCGCCGAGACATTGCCGCTGACAGTTTGGCCTGTGGAGGAGAGAGGAGCAGAGAGTGAGGAAAAACGGGGCTGCAAAAAAAGGGGATGCATTGGTCCAACTCCAGCTGGGATCACAGAGGAGTGGGCAAAAAATTAGAGCAGCCTTTAGTGCCTCTGGGATGAAGAAACAGAAGGACAATGTAAAGCTGCTCTGCTGCTGGACTTAGATGTATTTGGGATGCTGGAGCAGTGTCTCAAGGTCCCACGGGTAGGGGAAAAATGCTACACACAGCTTCATGGTAATTGTAATAGCTGAGTTCTGCTTTCTTCATCTGTTGCCTTGGGTAAGCCGTTCCTCAAGGCAGATGAATGCCGTTGTGTATCAGGATTATTATTAGCCCTATGTGCAAATCACTCCCAGCTCCCGGTAGGAATTGTTTCTTAGGAATTAAAAAAAATAAATTTTAAAAAATTAAAAATGAAGAGCTGAAAACTAGTGACAGCAGCAAAATGAAACTGTCACTGGCACATAATCCTCAGGAGCAGCTGCTGTGAGTGGAGCGGGGAAGTGGTTTATAGCAATCTTCAAAGAGCACGATGAATCCCCAGGCCACTCAGGGCTGAGAATTGCGGTGCCGCAGGGAAGGAGATTTCACTGCCTGGGAGTGCTGTAATCTGGTTAGAAGTTCAACAGGGAAAGCAAATGGGAGGATGGCTACCCAAAGTTTTTATTCAAAACGGGTCTTTATTGAACTGGTTTAGGAGCTCCAGACTTTAAATTGGGCAAAAGAAATAAGGAATTGTTTCCAGGATGGAGTTTCCTAAGTTTTAATTCCAACATGTCCACAAACTTGGTCTCAAACAGGAACAGGGCACTAAGCTTTGGAGTGGTTGAAAAATAGTGCATTCTGGTACCTAAACGTTTGCCTTTATCAGAAATCAGATCAAAAAACACTCAGAATGCTGAGATGTTTTGCAGAACAAGAACTAATGATGTCCCCATGGACAGACCCCAGATTTTGTGTCCACCTGTGGTACTTTGATGTCTCATTTGGGCTGCATTTCAGGTTCTCTCAGACATCCATTTTCCCTCTGAAAGCATTACACCCAACCTAAATTTCTTATGAGGCATCACAGATGGGAATTTGCTCTGGGTGGGTGACACAGTGGATAAAATGAAGGGTTACAGAGCACCAGGGCTTTGCTTCCTTTGCGCAGCTGATCACAAGGATGCTGAAGGACACAGGAGAGAGCTCTAGGTCTCCACACAGGTGGCCTGGTCATGGAGCTGCACAGCATCATCAGAGATGTTGCTATTCAGTCTCAGCTGAAACTGGACCTGATTTTTATAAATTTGAGCTCTGTACAGTCATGGACATTTCCCAACACCAGAGTTTGGCCCCAGACCCAGTGATCTACCCCCATCCACTTGCAGCCCAACTTCTCACCTCCAGTTTGGCAAAGGGCTCCTTTTGGAAGAACTTCTGCACCCAGAGCTCAAAGTTGAGGCCAAAGCAGTTGAAGAAAGACCAGATGTAAACGATCTCACAGGGCCCTAGCCACAGGGTGGTGACAGCAAAGGTGGCGATGGTGGCCATGAGCTCCTTCATGACGTTGTCATGGTTCTCTCCAATGTGGTCATACACGTACCTAACAGCCAAGGAAAGGGGTCAGTGCTCCCTGTAGTCAAGAGGCGCCCTCTGAAGTCCCTCCTCCCATTCTAACCCACCAAGTAAGATGTTTTGGCCGGCACATTCTAGCAATAAAATGGTGTGTAACCATGGCTGAAAAAAGCTGAAGGGCTGAGGGTGATGTGGATGGAGCTCAGGCCATCCTTGTTACCCAGGATATTGGAGTCCTGGGCTCAAGTCTCCTTTCCTCCTAGTGGAATATGAACCTGACTCTTCCTCCCTTGAGGACACACTAAACCCACCGAACTTAAAGAGTTTTCTGGGACAGGACTCTCTTATTCCCAACCTGGGGGTGGGTGGGCTGTTGTAGTTTATAGTGATTAATTCAGTGGTCTTAGGGATAAACAGACCAAATATGACTTCATGCCATAGTGGGATTCACACATCTCAGCTTTGGGATGAACAGCATCTAATGCTTCATAGCTATGTGATGGGAGAGAAGACCCTGAACCAGGCTGGAGATGGTTGATTAGACACTTACTTGCATAGCCAGTCATTAATCCCTCTGTCAAAATGCCTAAAATGCAGATGATAAAAAGCATGTTAAAACACGCACTGTAATGACACCCGTGCAGCCATAGAAGGTGTGTGGTCCCCTGGTGTTCACAGCAGTTCTCCACACTCCCTCCTTAAATGGATCCCACTATCAATGTGGTTGTAACCTCTTTTATCCATTGCTTCCTGCCCAAAAATATTTCCCTGGGCTATGGCCCAGTCTAGACTATGGGTTCAGTATGAACCGTTCAATGTAGGCAGTCTGCAACTTAGATGCTCAGAAGCACAGCCCAGACCTCCTCCCCACCGGGCACATTTCATGCAGGTCAAATGTGCTGCCCCTCTTCATCGATGCAAGTGGGGTACTCACGTTTCTGCGAAGACGTAGAGCATGGTGATGCATTTTGGGGGCTGGGGTGGGTCCAAGTGGTCCAGTCTGGCGATGGTGTTGGTGACCCCAAACATGACAGCAGCTTTCACCCAGTCGTACACCAAATTGGAGTAGGCCAAGCCAGCTGGAGCAAAAATGAGAGTCAAGCAC